TGACGGTGAAGCGCACGGGGAATCTGAACCAGTACGCCGTGGTCCTGTGTCGAACTGAACCCGACTCCGCCTCCTCCTCCTCCTCCTCCAACAACAAACCGGGAACTCAGGACTACGTGGAGTACGCCGGGCAGGTAAACGCAAACACACAAACACCCTCTGGAACTCCCCCGGCAAACGCTCCCAGAGACTCAACCGCACCACACGTCTGCAAAAAGGCCCGAAAACATATCATAAAAAAAAAAAACTCTTTATATAACTGCATCTCATTTTGATCTGTTTGTTTGAATTGTGTGAAGTGTCTTTGAATGTTAAGAAAAGTACCAAGAAATGTCAAAGATTAGTCCTGGTTTAGACTTGGTTTAGTCCTGGTTCAGTTCTGTTTTAGTCCCGGTTTAGACCTGGTTTAATGCTGGTTCAGTCCTCCTCGGTTTAGTTCTGGTTCAGTTCTGGTTTAGTCCTGGTTCAGTTCTGGTTTAGACCTGGTTTACACTTGGTTTACACCTGATTTAGTCCTGGTTTAGTCCTGGTTCGTGCTCTGGTTCAGTTCTGGTTTAGTCTTGGTTTAGTCCTGGTTTAGACCTGGTTTAGTCCTGGTTTAGTCCTGGTTTAGTCTGGTTCAGTCCTGGTTTAGTTCCTGGTTCAGTCCTGGTTTAGTCCTGGTTCAGTCCCTGGTTCAGTCCTGTTCAGTCCTGGTTTAGTCTTGGTTTAGTCCTGGTTTAGACCTGGTTTAGTCCTGGTTCAATTCTGGTTTAGTCCTGGTTCAGTTCCTGGTTTAGTCCTGGTTCCGTCCTGGTTCAGTCCTGGTTTAGTCTTGGTTTAACCTGGTTCACCTGGTTTACCTGGTTCAGTCCTGGTTTAGTCCTGGTTCAGTCCTGGTTTAGTCTGGTTTAGTCCTGGTTTAGTCCTGGTTTTAGTCCTGGTTTAGTCCTGGTTCAGTCCTGGTTTAGTCTGGTTTAGTCTTGGTTTAGTCCTGGTTCAGTCCTGGTTCAGTCCTGGTTTAGTTCTGGTTTAGTCCTGGTTCAGTCCTGGTTTAGTTCTGGTTTAGTCTTGGTTTAGTCCTGGTTCAGTCCTGGTTCAGTCCTGGTTCAGTCCTGGTTCAGTTCTGGTTTAGTCCTGGTTCAGTCCTGGTTCAGTCCTGGTTCAGTCCTGGTTTAGTCTGGTTTAACCTGGTTCAGTCCTGGTTTAGTCTGGTTTAGTCCTGGTTAGTCCTGGTTCAGTCCTGGTTTAGTCTTGGTTAGTCCTGGTTTAGTTCCTGGTTCAGTTCCTGGTTTAGTCCTGGTTCAGTCCTGGTTTAGTCTGGTTTAGTCTGGTTCAGTCTGGTTTAGTCCTGGTTCAGTCTGGTTTAGTCTGGTTCTTCTGGTTTAGTCCTGGTTCAGTCCTGGTTTAGTCTTCTGGTTTAGTCCTGGTTCAGTCCTGGTTCAGTCTCTGGTTTCTGGTTTAGTCCTGGTTTCAGTCCTGGTTCCTGGTTCAGTTCTGGTTTAGTCCTGGTTTAGTCCTGGTTAGTCTGGTTTAGTTCCTGTTTAGTCCTGGTTTTAGTCCTGGTTTAGTCCTGGTTCAGTCTTGGTTTAGTCTGGTTCAGTCCTGGTTCAGTCCTGGTTCAGTCCTGGTTTAGTTCCTGGTTCAGTCCTGGTTTAGTTCTGGTTTAGTCTTGGTTTAGTCCTGGTTCAGTCCTGGTTCAGTCCTGGTTCAGTTCAGTGGTTTAGTCCTGGTTCAGTCCTGGTTCAGTTCTGGTTTAGTCCTGGTTCAGTCCTGGTTCAGTTCTGGTTAGTTTTAGTTCTGGTTTAGTCTTGGTTCAGTCCTGGTTCAGTCCTGGTTCAGTCCTGGTTCAGTTGGTTCTGGTTTAGTCTGGTTTAGTCCTGGTTCAGTCCTGGTTTAGTCCTGGTTCAGTTCTGGTTTAGTTCTGGGTTTAGTCTGGTTTCAGTCCTGGTTCAGTCCTGGTTCAGTCCTGGTTTCAGTTCTGGGTTAGTTCTGGTTTAGTCTTGGTTTAGTCTGGTGGGTTCAGTCCTGGTTCAGTCCTGGTTCAGTCTGGTTCAGTTCTGGTTTAGTCTGTTCTGGTTTAGTCCTGGTTCAGTTGGTTCGTCCTGGTTCAGTTCTGGTTAGTTAGTCTGGTTTAGTCCTGGTTCAGTCCGGTTCAGTCTGGTTCAGTCCTGGTTCAGTTCTGGTTTAGTCCTGGTTCAGTCCTGGTTCAGTCTGGTTCAGTCTGGTTCAGTCCTGGTTCAGTCCTGGTTCAGTTCCTGGTTTAGTCTGGTTCAGTTCTGGTTTAGTCTGGTTTAGTCTGGTTCCTGGTTCAGTAGTTTAGTCTGTTCAGTCCTGGTTCAGTCCTGGTTCAGTCCTGGTTCAGTTCTGGGTTAGTCCATATACGGCACAAAAGTTCTGCATCTTGGCTCAGTTATTGAGTCGAGAGTTAAACTGCTGTAATATTCGTGTCATGTTTTATATTTTAAACACAGTGATATTGTGATGTAAAAAATGACTTTGAAATGACAATAACGCGTCATAAATAAATAACGCATCACGGTTTTGAAGTCACTCGCTCTGACCCCCGTCCCCCGTGTCCGGCCCAGGTCCAGTTCGACGAGCGCGAGGACACCAAAGTCTGCACCGTCATCATCAACGACGACCAGGTGTTCGAGGGCGTGGAGCGGTTCAGGGTGGAGCTGAGCATGCCCGTCTACGCCCTGCTCGGACCCAACGCCCGCGCCGTGGTCAACATCAACGACACGGAGGACGAGCCCAGGCTGCAGTTCGACCAGAAGACCTACCACGTGAACGAGAGCGCCGGCTTCGTGCACGCGCCCGTCCAGAGGAAAGGTGAGTCCGTCGCGCTTCGGTTTCAGGGCTCACGTGTAAAAATATGTGGGTTTCACGTGACGTCGCAGAAATCAGACGGAGGCAGGAAGTGAACCGACTGGAGGGAAATGCCGATGTGTTGTGTAGTTTACAGCTGAGCCGATCGTTCTGACCGAGAGAAGGAAAAGCCTTTTTTTTTTTTAGAACCGAATATAGTCGTCCACAAAGGTCAGAAATGGGAAAAGTGAATCAGAACCTCTGTAATAACAAATCCCTCTCTCCTCTCCTCCCTCTCCTCCTCCTCCCTCCCCTCTTCTCCTGTCCTCCTCTTCCTCTCCTCCTTCTCTCCTCTATCTCTTCTCCTCTCCCCTCTCTCCTCTCTTCCTCTCTCCTCCCTCCTCTCCTCCTCCTCCTCCCTCTCCTCTCCTTCTCTCCTCCCCTCTCCTCCTTCTCTCCTTCCTCTCTCCTCCTCTCTCTCCTCCTCTCTCCTCCTCCTCCTCCTCCTCTCTCCTCCCCTTCTCTCTCCTCTATCTCTCCTCTCCCTCTCCCCTCTCTCCCTCCCTCTCTCCTCCTCTCTCTTCCTCCTCCTCTCCTCCTCTCCTCTCCTCTCTCTCCCTCCTCTCCTCCTCCTCTCTCTCCTCTCCTCTCTCCTCTCTCCTCCTCCTCTCCCTCTCTCCCTCTCCTCCTCTCTCCCTCCTCCTCTCCTCTCTCCTCCTCTCTCTCCCTCCTCTCTCTCCCTCTCTCCTCCCTCTCCTCCTCTTCTCCTCTCCTCCTCTCTCCTCCCTCTCTCCTCCTCTCTCTCCTCTCTCTCTCCTCCTCCCCTCTCCCCTCCTCCTCTCCTCCTCTCTCCTCCCTCCTTCCTTCTCTCCTCTCTCCTCCTCTCCTCCTCTCTCTCCTCCCTCCTCTCCTCCTCTCCTCCTCTCCTCCTCTCTCCTCTCTCTCCTCCCTCTCTCTCCTCTCTCTCTCTCCTCCCTCTCTCCTCCTCTCTCCTCTATCTCTTCTCCTCTCCTCTCCCCTCTCTCCTCCTCTCCTCTCCCCTCTCTCCTCCCTCTTTCCTCTCTCCTTCCTTCTCTCCTCTCTCCTCCCTCTCCTCCTTCTCTCCTCCCTCCTCTCCTCCTCTCCTCTCCTCTCCTCCTCTCTCCTCCTCTCCTCCTCTCTCCTCCTCCTCTCCTCCCTCCTCTCCTCCTCTCCTCTCCCTCTCTCCTCCTCTCCTCCCTCTTTCCTCTCTCCTCTCTTCTCTCCTCTCCTCCTCTCCTCTCCTCCTCTCTCTCCTCCTCCTCCTCTCCTCCTCCTCCTCTCTCCCCCCTCTCCTCCTCTCTCCTCCTCTCTCCCTCCCCTCCTCTCTTCTCCTCTCCTCTCTCCTTCTCTCCTCCTCCTCCTCTCTTCTCCTCTCCTCTCCTCCCCCTCCTCCTCTCTCCTCTCTCTCTCTCCCTCCTCCTCTCCTCCTCCTCTCTCCTCCTCTCTCTCCTCCCTCTCTTTCTCTCGTCAGGTGACCCGTCCAGCACCGTCTCCGCTCTCTGTTACACCGTCCCGAAGTCGGCTCAGGGCTCCAGTCTGACGGGCCTGGAGTCCGGCTCGGACTTTAAGACCCGGGGAATGACCGGCGCCAACCGCGTGGTGTTCGGGCCCGGCGTCTCCATGACGACCTGCGACGTGAAGCTGATCGACGACAGCGAGTACGAGCTGTCGGAGGAGTTCGAGCTGGTGCTGTCGGACGCCTCGGACAACGCCCGACTCGGGGACGTGCCGGTCGCCAAAGTGGTGATCGACGGGCCCAACGACGCCTCCACCGTCTCCCTCGGCAACGCCACCTTCACCTTCAACGAGGACGCAGGTGTGGGCGGGACGGCGGGGGGTCACTGTCCATCACAAATAATTAGAAGATCATGAAAAAATAAGACACACAATTTAGTTTTTTCATTATCTGTGAGCTGCAATCGTAAAAATTCAACAAACTCTTAAAATATTTGATTCTACGGCCACGTTTACATGATGTTTTTAAATTCCGATTTAATTGTTCCGAATTAAATAGTTCAGAATTTAAATATTCTCAATCCGTGTATCATTCGTTCATTCGTTTTTTAATATTAAACCAAAAATAAGAAAAAATAACTATGTTCTTCATTATTTGTCTTCGAAACCAAAATGAAAAAACAGATAACAATTTGGGTTTTTTTTTAGTTTTGGATAACATGACTTAAACTGTGATGTCAGAGTGAACCGGGACTAAAACGGGACTAAAGCAGGACTAAAACAGGACTAAAACCAGGACTGAAACAGGACTGAAACAGGACTAAAACAGGACTGAACTAGGACTGAACCAGGACTGAACCAGGACTAAAACAGGACTAAACCAGGACTGAACTAGGACTGAACCAGGACTAAACACTTTAAATCCTCTTTATTTAATTCCGCTCAGCGTCTGGGGGTGGGGAAAGTTCTGATTGGACAGAGACGTTGACCGGAAGAAAACAACGGAGGGCGACCCAACGAGCATGTCCTGAATGACCGGAATTAATTTTTACGAAGAATAATTCGGGTCATACATGATCGAGGAATAAATTAATTTGGCTTTAAAATCGGAATAAACCACCCACTGACTTTGGAATTATCATTTTAGGAATTTTTACATGTGTTTAGGAAGTGTTTCCATGGTCTTCTTAAAGCGGAATTAATCTTTATTCAGAATGAAACTATTTTTATTCAGAATTAAAGCGCTCATGTAAACGTGGCATATGTGTCATGAGTTTATATAATGTTTGGGGTTTGACTTTCTGAAATGAATGACAAAAATATAGAACTTTTTCATGATTTTCTCATTATTTGTGATGGACTAGGGCATTATGTCACGTCACTCTGGAACCACATTTGAATTTTAGTTAATATGTTTTTTGGGTGTATAAATGTCACTACTTGTCCTTACTGATAAAAAAAAAATATTAAAAAATTGGTTACAGATAGGAATGGGCATGATTAATCGATTAATCGATAATTGATCATGAAGAATTTCATCGATTACATTAATTTTAATCGACAAACCGAATGTAGGTCACTGTGTGTAGTGTGTCGTGACCAAACAGGTGTGTACATGTGTCTCTGCATCAGAAGGAGCGAGACACAAACAGTGGGTCAGTCTGTAACGAACCGAAGCACAAATGTGGATTTAACCAGGATTTGGACAAGAAATTCCACACTTTCCGTTGCGTTGGGACAAGTGTGAGTCCATGTGCACAGTGGATAAAGCAGCACATATGTTTCTGTGTCCAGTGGGAAAAAGTTTTTCCAGGTGAGAGTCGCTCAATGTGGATGACGAGGCCCCGCCCCCCTCCCCCCGTACGCTGTCCTGGTTTTGACAAACACAAATCTGGTCACACTGACCTGTATTCACCTGAGTCATGTCTTTTAATCCAACACAAGTTGAACCACATCAGCGACACAAGAGCTGGAGTTTTATCTTCACTTAGTTTATGTAAATTAGTGATGTGGTTTTAAGTTTTGTTTCTGTGAGATTTGAACAAAACTGAATTAAACACATTATAATGTCAAACAGCTGATGTGGATCTAGAGTCGTTATGTTTATATGTCGTAAAGTTGAATTATTTATGCAGATTAGTGCAGATAGTAATAATAATGATGATCATTTTAATATAAAAACATTAATGATTAATTGATAATGGATCGTTAATTCTTCCGACAATCGATTAAGAAAATTTCATCGAATGCTCATCCCTAGTTACAGATAAATACAGGTTCTTCTGTGTTTACGACAGAACACATTGCATAAAGTGTCTTTTGTGTCGTCAGTCTTGAGGTTGTTTTTAAACTTAAACAAACTTTATTGACCCACAAGGGAAATGACTTGGACACAGGAGCTCACACATCACTATATAATATCATAACAAAGAGAAATGGTAATAAGACATTCTGAGACCAGCGTCAAATAAAGCAGAATTATATAAATGTAAAAGTAAAAAATAAAGTAATAAAAATAGACTATGGAACAGATTTGACTATTAGGGGCCACCATAGTTATAGTATTAATGAAAAACACAGTGTAGTGGTAATTTTTGTACCGTTAAACTCCCGTAGAAAAGCAGAAGGGTCTGAAAACCTCCCTGCTCAAGCTCTTAACACTCTGTTTTGTATCGTCTGGTGTTTTCAGGCACCATCGAGATCCCCGTGCTGCGTCAGGGCAGCGACCTGTCCTCTCTCACCTCCGTGTGGTGCGCCGCCCGCCCGTCCGACCCGCCCTCCGCCAGCCCCGGGGTCGACTACATCCCCAGCTCCAAGAAGGTCCAGTTCAAACCCGGGATCACACAAGAGGTCAGTCTGATGTCTGCTGCCCGCTGCCTGTACACGGACACTGGACCAGCATGTGGGATTTTCAACACAGATATAATTTACACAGGAAAATCCACTTCCATATAATAATCCAGTTTGTTTACCATTTACTTGTATGATTAGTATTAGTCTTTAAATACTTATGTAAGTCTGATGTGATCTTTATTTATGACAGAAATCAAGTTTATTGGAGACTGAGAATCCGTGTGTCGTTCGTTCATTCGTTTTTCAAAATAAAACCAAAAATAAGAAAACGGAAAAAAACAACTATTTTCTTCATTATTTGTCTCCAAAACCAAAATAAAAAAACCGATAATGATTTGTTTTTTCAGTTTTCGTTTTGTGTTTAAATGAAAAACGGAAAAA